AGGACTTGGTGACCAGGAGCTCAGGAATGCAGGTCCAGGTCACTGTACCAGGTAAACTACTAAAACCAGCAGAGTGGTGATAGGGGGTAAGGGGAACCTAGAAAATACAGCAGAGAAAGAAGATAGTGTCTTTGTATCACTGAGACCAAGTGCCATGCCAGTGACTGTAACTTGACCCACAGAACTTTCTCTTCTGGGTTTTTCTCAGGATGAGAGGCCCACTGGAATTCTGGCAGGCTATTCTCTGAATATATATGAAGCAGTAGCTCCAAGTGGTGAAGGGGTGGAATGTGGTGGACACAGAGATGTGTCCTCCAAATTCTTCTTCACTGTAGGACTTGTCACTTTGGCTCCTGGAAGGATAGCAGACAGCCCAGAGCTGATGGGACCTTCACAGACTGCTTCAGCTGCAGAAAACCATCTTGCTTAAGTTCATGCCCCTTCCTGGGGCAGTTCACATCTAATGACTAATCAATGTGGCCTGAATTAGTTATCAGGCCCAAAGGCCTGAATTTCTTGGCCAAACTCAGAGAACTCTTAAAGGCCATTGTAATACCATGATTCTCCTAGAGGGTAGGTTGAGACTGCCATTAGGCCTATATTGCAGTTTAATTTCTTGCTGTGTCTGATTCTGTTTCCTTTTCTTCCCTTCCACAATTATTGATCCCAATGGCACTCCTTAATAAATATCCTGCATTCTGTTCTCTATCCCAGAGTCTGCTTCCCAGGGAATCTAATCTGTCACAAGTGTCTAATAAGTGCCAGGATCTAAGCTGGGTAACTTACATTTGTCATTTCTATTATTCCTCATATCACCTTGTGAGATGTTTTGGATGATGTCTACTTTTAAGAGTTGCAGTGGGGCATCTCAAAGGTTAATTAGCTTGTCCAGGGTTCTATCATTTATAGGACTGACTGATTCCAAAGGCCTTGTCTATTCTGTCTACTGTGCTAGCCACAGCTGTAGGAAAAATGAAATGGACACTAATAACCAATTCCTACTATAGACCAGACAGTGTCTTAGGTACTTGTACCTACATAATATCATTCAATTATCACAGCAAGCCAATTAAAGAGTGTTACCTTTACTTTTATGCATGTAATGTATAAGACCAAGACAAAAGGACTTTCATAGGCAAAGCTGTTTCTAGAGCCCAGATCCATCTGGTTCCAAGGGCAGTGCATTCTCTTCCAGGTCAAGCTGCTTACTCTAAGATGGAGGGTCACCCAGGGAGGATAGAGAAGACACTAAAGTATGCATTTACCTAGAAGTAGCCCAAGCTATGCAATACTCATTAAGGTATCTACCATAAACATGGGTATTTTCTTTCTCAGAGTGAGTTTTACAAATTTTTTTGGTGGGATCCCCACCAGCTTTCTAAACCCCGTGGTTACCTATAAGTAGAGTATGCACATAATTTTTGATCCAAAGCATGACACTTGAGAATGTCATGGGACAATAGAGGTAAGTCAGGATGGCCATGGGCAAACAGAGAGAAATGCTCACCCCACTATTGGGAAAAACTGTTATGTTTCTTAGATGCTATTCTTCATTCATACTTAGCTGGTATGACAAACCAAATCACGACATAAGGTAGGTTGTAAGAGAGAGTGTTTCAGAGTGATTCTCTGAAAGGTTTTGGCTTTAGAGCATTAGATTTTCCCTAGCAAATTCACCCATGATCCTGGCCTCTCGATCACACAGCAAAACAAATTCCACTCTGATATAAACAGGGAACATTTCCGAATTGTGGGATTGTTTTCCTTTAATTAAATGAAAGGGGGAGGTGTAGTTATTTTCAACTCTCTGCACAAATTTACTACCCAGTAGAAACCGAATAATGCATTGTAAGTAGTACTTATTCTATTTACTGTACCGTCTATTGATGTGTGTTGGACTTGTTCTATTTTGGAGGCACTGCCATGGTAACTGGGCTCCTTACAAAGGCCTGTGTCAGAGCAGAAATTGAACATGGAGAACTTTAGATAAATGACAAAATAAAGAATCAACCTCAGCAGGCCCAGAAATATTCATAACAATTTCATGCTTTACTCTGGGACAGATTTCTCCATGAAGATGAGAAGTCTTAAGAGGCAGTTCATAAGATGTACTGGACATAGAACTATTCCTGAGCAAAGTGGTAGAAGAAAGTCTATTTTCACAGTCTCTTACATGTCCTGATCAACATCTGTGGCTCTGCCTCTTGTTCCATGTTGGCCTTTAGGTCAAGCTCACAGCTTTAGGCAAAAAGTACAAGCTGGTTTTCAGCCTTCAGAAAACCAGGGTGACGTTAGATGACTGGCCTTGAGTCCACAGATCTGAAACATAACCCTGGCTCTGCCTTTAATTGCTAAAGGGCTTTTCTTCAAACCAGGATTATGTTTCCAAGCTATTAACTTGGATGTAAATGTATAAAGTTGTTACAAACAAGGGGATCCCTTGAGCTAAAGCCTTGTGCTCCTCTTGAAGTCAGTGCCAAGGGGAAGACAGAGATTCTAATTGGTCCACTTTTCTCTATAGAACTAGCAGATCCCAGTATTCTCATGGAAAGTGGGCATCTAAGCTGTGTTCCACAGTCCTTGTCACAGAGACTAAGGGTACTAGAAGGAAGTCTACAAGGTCAAAAATCCTTTCCATCAATCCAAGAATGGATTAATAAAATGTGGTATATGTATACCATGGAGTACTATTCAGCTCTAAGAAACAATGGTGATATAGCACATCTTATATTTTCCTGGTTAGAGCTGGAACCCATACTACTAAGTGAAGTATTCCAAGAATGGAAAAACAAGCACCACATATACTCACCAGCAAACTGGTATGAACTGAGTAGCACCTAAGTGGACACATAGGTACTATAGTAATAGAGTATTGGGGAGGAGGGAGGGTAGAGGGGTGCGGGTATATACATACATAATGAGTGACATGTACACCATCTGAGGGATGGTCATGCTGGAAACTCAGACTTTGGGGGGGAGAGGGGGAAAGGGCATTTATTGAAACCTTAAAATCTGTACCCCCATAATATGCCAAAATAAAAAAAAAATCCTTTCCTTGTGAGAATTTCTTTTGGATCTTATTCAGAAATAGTCTCATCACTTCTACCTATTTCTCACGTCTGTAGAGTAACCAATAAGCACAAGCAGTGACCAGACCCTACACTGCCTTCTTCAACTCTCCCCCACTTTTTTTTTTCTTCTTGAACTCCCTCAGCCTATTAGCTCGGGTTAGTTTAGTCCCTGAGTCAGGCCTGGGAGTGGGAAGGAGCTCGTGTGCCCATAGGTGGCTGTGGACCCCACCCTAGACCTTGTCCTGTTGTTCTGAGACGCATGAGAATCATCCTTCCCCTTTTCCAGTAGAGGTTCAGCCATTGCTCATGGCTTCATGAGCCGAATTGTTCCTGCTTGAATTCCATCTAGGAGCAAGATGGTCACCACTTCTCAGGAGCCTCCTGAGAAGGACTAGAAGTGAACAGCCTGACAAGGCCCTCCCTGTGTGATGACATGTGTCCCAGAGGGGAGGCTGACAGAAATGGCATCATCTTGCAAATTTCTAGGCCCAAGGAAGAAGAGCAAACCAAGGAACAGACAGGCAGAAGAGAAAATATGGAGGGATACCCCTGGAGAAATTGCCACCTGCTTGGCTGAATAAAATTTGGAAGATTATCTCAGAATCACGTCTTCTCATCTCAGACATCATTTCTTTTTTTATTATTATTATTATTTCGGCATATTATGGGGGTACAGATTTTAAGGTTTCAATAAATGCCCATTTCCCCCCCTTCCCCCACAAGTCAGACATCATTTCTAACACCCAAGATCTGAGAGCTGGCTGTAAATGCCCAGCAGCCTTAGCGCCCCCTCCTTTTTTTTTTCAATCTGTGCTCCTGCAACAAAACACTCAGTCCTACCTCCTGATTCTTGGCACCCCCCCATCCCCAGATCCCCCCAAAGCATTTCAGTCCTTGGCATTCCCATTTGCTCTCCCTCAGCCCCAAGCCTGAGCCAGAAGGCTTGAACCTCTCAAAGATTCCCGATGTTCGGGGGCCTCTGGGTCAGAAATAACAGATGTAGGACTTGGATTTAGAGCAGGCACAGTTTTCCTCAACTCTGTCACCCTTTCAGGTTTTTAAAATTGATAATGGAAGTCCCACGTCTCTCTGATCGTGCCTCTATTTCTCTTCCCTCAAATATTCATCTGCCACAAACTACGGACACGGCCACCTTTTCACTCAACAGCCTTCTCTCTTGGGATCCTGGGCATTTCCAGCGAGGGGAGTCAGCTATCATGCTAGCTCTCACCTCTCTCCCTCATTTAATCAATTTTTACTCCAGTTTGTCAAACTTTCCACTTGTCAACCACACATTGGCTGCAGGAGGTGGGGGGAGCAGAGTTGGAGGTTATGGAGGTAGCGAGACAACAGGTGTGGATTAATTAAATGAAAGGGGGAGGTGTAGTTATTTTCACCAGGTGTGGAGTTATGCTATAGCTAGGGAGGTTTTTAGGCTGAAAAGACTAAATAAGATGGCCAATGACTATAATCTTTTTGATTTTTCTAACGGGCAGAATACAAGACTTTGGGAAACCAAGAAAAGAAGGAAGGAAGTGGGGAAGAGAGAGAAAGAAAGAAAGAAAGAGAGAGAGAAAGAGAGAAAGAAAAAGAAAGAGAAAGAAATGCTTGAGTGTCCAAATCTGGGGTGAATATGTGTAAAGGTGAAAAGGCGAGAGCCGGGCGTGGAGGAAGGAGGAAGGCCCAGAGGGGGCTCTGTATTTTTAGGGGTGACAGAACACTTCCGGCCTGTGAAGGCTGGAGATGTTAATTATAGGACCTGTGGATGTCAGCAGAGATCTTTTAAAAGAATAACCCAAGTGCCTAAAATCCCCCCAAGAATACAGAGCCCGTTTTAGCAATGGCCGTCAAAGACAACAAAAGTGAAATGCGCAAATGCCTTCTACGCAGGGCGGTGCTGGGCAACCAGCTCGCTCGCTCGCAGCCTCCCCCCATGCTGTTGCTAGGAGACCGGAGGGCCATACTTCCATCATCTCCATACTTGCTGGGAGATTGAGTAATTGGTGTCTGCATGTGCGTGTGCTGCTTCCCAAAATATCTCTTTAAAAAGACGTGAGAGGGATGCGGAGCCAGTAGGTAGGATGATGGGGGCGGACCGTGTCCCAAGGGGGCAGGCATTCCGAGAGCCCAGGCTGAGGCTGAGAAGGGGGCGGGGACCCACGCTGGCATAGAGACGGGAGCTGTTGACAGCTTTCCCGGATTCTTTTTCATCCTCCGCCTTGTGATTTGGGACTGATCTCCTAAGTGGAATCTGGAAATTGGTGGGGACAACTAAAATTTAGGGAGAAATGTAGTTTGTTTTTTCCTTCTTATTATTGAGACCCAGCGAGACCAGCAGAAAGATTTTAATTTTATTTTGTAGATATTTAAAATGTAGATGCACGTGCTTTATAGTGCTTGATGATAGGTGCTAAACCATGTTTTGTGGGAGGGGGAGTAGATAAGAAAATGGGGCATGCATGTGAAAACACACACACACACACACACACACACACACACACACACACACCTGTGGGTGATGAAAATGTCTGCTTCAGTTGCAGGGAGCCAGTGAAGTATACAGCTGCGACTCATATCTTTAGAGTCTCTGGAAATTTGGATGCCTGAGGGTGAGACTTGGCCCTGCCTCTAACAGTTTCATAACTTTCATGATCTGTCTATGCCTCAGTTTCCTCATGTGTAACCTGACAGGGTTGAGCTAGTACATCCATAAAGTATGCTCCAAATCTCCAACTTTCTTGATATGTAGTCTCACCTTCTCCCCACAGACAAGGGGCAATGCCATATTATTTCTTTGTGGAGATGTTCAGTTCTCTTTTTTAATTAACAAGAAAAATTAAATTAATTGCTGCATTACACTTTTTCAGATATCTGTTTAAATACCTATTGCTGAAAGTCTTGAAGAGTAGATTAGGAAGTGGAGTAACTGACTTCTAAATTTTATCATTTTCCTTTTTGTCACACTTGTCCTATAATACTTAATATGTTCAAAAATCTGATTTGTAATAGCATCACTTTCTTCTTTTTAACCAATGGTGGAAGGAGGTAGGGTGTCCGGGATATATTGACTCTGTATTCTGATCTTGTAAATGAGAACTAAGAATCTGGGAGTTTTTCTTAAAGTCACTGGCCAGATGGTTCAATGTTTTGGAATTCTTTGAAGCATTAGGAAACTTACCTGTTAGTTCCAACTTTGTCACTAACTTGTGGGACTATGACCATATCCTTATATGTCACAAGGGGGGGCGTCCCCTGTCCTCTAGTCCTCATAGGAAGATTAGGAAGGAAAACGCCATAATCTATGTAAATGCACTTTGGAATGTAGAAAGGGTGCACAGAATGTACTGCATTCTTTTCACTGTGTGCTTGAGAAATTTATTCATTTATTCAGAAAGTATTTTTTGAGATACTGCTGCTGCCAGGCCCTCATTAGGCATTCATCACATGATGCATACACATGGTCAATGTCCTTCATCATCCATCCCATGCCCCACAGTTCTAGGGAAAATGACCTCCTATTACTATGGAAAACTGCATTCTCAACAGCTGCATCCTCTGAGTACTACACATTCTCCTAGGTTGAACCTTTGCACAGTGTGAAAAATGCTCTGGAATCACTCCCACGAGTGTCTGTCTTATTTTGTTCTTGAACACTCCCAGTGACACAAACCTCAGACACTTTACTTCCTGTGTTAATGAATGCCAATGCCTAATCATTGTACAAGCAGATGTTCCTTAGGAAAAACAAATAAAATTAAGGCTATCTTTAGGTTAATAAACACCCCCCACCCCCACCCTTGGCTGAGCAAGCAGCTAAGCAATGCCTTTCACCTTTTTTTCCCCTCTTACATTAGGGATGGTGAAGCTTGCTATCACATGAAACACCCAGACTTCCTCATCTTACTTGTTTTGCACAGCACCCAGGGAGATTTTTGGATGGACCTTGAATACAAGGGCTGTGAGAAGTTCTATTTGTTGTGTTGACACCATTGATAAATTGTTTGTCCTGGAGAAGAGGAGAAAGACCTCACTTTTAACCTCTATGATCCCTTAAAAGGTAGTTTTCCCTTTGTGCCAAGAATGAAGCCTGGAGGACAGTTGAGGGAAAATGAACCGATGCCATTAGAGAGAAACCAGGGATCGGATCGTGGGCTGGATATTAGCCTTACCAGGCAGAGCTTGGTTCCTTGTCCTTTCTTCTGGGTATTTGGCAAGCATTCTAGAGTTTTTAGAAGGGGGATGGATGTGGGAGGAAGAGCACAAGGAAGTCATAAAGGGATGCCAAGTAATAATGAATAAGAGTTATTTTGTGCACTCCCAGGAGATCTGAGCCCATCGGCAGTAGTTCCAAGGAGGCAGATGTTGGTTCAGTCCCAGGAAGTCCTTGCTAAGGCAGCTTTGCAAAATGCAAAGGGACTAGGGAAAGGGGAAAAGGGGAGGTGTTCAAATAAATTTCTTCTCACTAGGGCTGGACCCCCGGCAAGGATTGTCCTCTATCACCCTTCCAAACCTACGGGTCTGTGATACTGCAATAGATCCTAGGGAGCTATTCTGATCCATATTCACCCCTCTGCCCACACCCCAACATCTCAAGCTTTATTAAACCCAATGCCAGAAAGACCACTACTTGTATCCAAAAAAGTTCTAGGGAACTTTAAACTAAGGAAGCATTAAATAACTTTGCAAAGTGCTTTTGGAAAGTCCGCTATAAAAGAGTCCCCTTGTCAAGCTAAATTGAACAAAAGAGCCATCATCTTAAAGATGCCACAAAATTATTTTTATTTTTGTGCTTTTATATTTGGCCTCAATTGCTTAATTTCCAGCCAGTGTGGAGGGAGGTGCTCTCCAAGGAATGCATAATCTCTTAATTTTGAAGATAATGGATTCGTTTTTTAAGGGGAAACCACCATGCTAACTCAATTGTCCACTTGAAAACAAAAACTTAGCTTTTTCATTCATGGTGACCTTGCTTCTCCTGGACGCTTGTCTGGGATTCCCAAACTGGGTCAGAAAGAAAAATGGCTTAGTTCACACTTGGGAACATTTGAAGTTATTTATACTAAAATTTTATTTTATGGTTTCAAAGCATGGATTAGCTCATTTGAATCTGGGAAAAAAAAGCTGATATTATATAGTTTATAAGTGAGGAATCTAAGGCTCAATAGGGCTAGAAGGACTTGCCTAAGGCTGCACCCCTTGTTTCTAAGCATATTAGAGACATCAGTCTACCATAACTATCTGCCTCATCTCTTGGCCTCACATCTCAAGCTCTTTAACATTCATCCATCCATTCACTTATCGAAAAATATTGAGCACCACCTATGTGTTGGAAGCCATCCCAGATAGTGAACCAGAGGCACCAAAATGTGTTCCTGCCCAAAGCTTACATTCTAGTCTTACATTCTAGTCTTCAGAAATGGCCAATTAAAAATAGATAAGTAAAAAATGTAGTATTGTCATGAGAGCAAAGACAAATGCCTGGATAGTACATACAGCAGACCCAAGGGACTGACTATGGAGCAGTATAATTAGGGTAGAGGCTCACGGCAGGATTAGTAGCTGGTATATGTTTTCCTGAGTCTCTATGATTGCATATAGCAATTTGGTAGGACTGAATTTAGACTCCTGAAGAGGGACCCTGACCTTGGGGCTGTGGAGCTTTCATGTTGCCTGATTAAGGAAATCCTGGCCCCTGCCCTGCAGTGATCAGGGGCCAGGATTTCATAGTGATATGGCAGAGCTTCAACTCCAGCTAGATCCTGCCAGCTCTGTCTTTGTGGTCAAAAGCTAGGTCCAAGCCTTGCATGTCATAGCAAGCAGCAGTAGGATGAGCTTCAGCAGAATTTATGGTTGGAGAATTACCAGCTGTCTCTCTGGCATAATGGGGTGCTGGAGTTCCAGCTTTTTAGGTGATCAGGATTGATTGATTTAATGCCTTAAGCACTGGGCCATAACCGGTTTCCATGGAGCTTTGCAGGAAACTTATTTCCCAAGAGAACATGTGGTTCTCTACTCAAGTCCTTGGATACTGATGACCTGCTTTCCAATCTGTCTGGTGCTCTATACAGCATTCTTGAGCTAAAGTTCTAGGCCCTTATCCTTTTAGCCCATTCTCTGCTGAGTCAAATTCTAGGTCCAGCAAAATATGTTTCTATTTGTATGGTTGGAATTCTGGAGCTGAGCCTTACCATCCCCTAGAACAGCATTTCTCTACCCCATCTGCACATCAGAAGCACCTAAAGACACTGCAAAAAATACCTTTATCTTGGCCCACCCCTTACAGAGGACTAGAAACTAGTTCTTTCAGGGTAAAGCTTTGGTTCTATATTTTTCTGAGTTCCCTCAGGTATTCTCATCCACAGTGAAAGCTGAGAAGAACTGTTCTAATATTCGTTTTGCCAGAAAAATAAGGCTATGTGAAGAGCCCTTGCTTCACATTAGGGAAGGAAGCTTTGTGATTTCTAGGGAAGATGGGAGACAGAACAGGTGTGCAAAGCCTCCCATCTTGTTCTGAATACATGCACATGCTTGTTAAAAAATATAACAAAATCTTTTTTAAAAAGAAAGAAAAACCTCCATGTGCCAAATGAAGCTAAAAACCCAAATTAAAGTCTTGGAGGTAAATTCTTGTGACCCAAAGGGATCTTAAGAGGAGATAGACATTTTGTGGCTGAAGTCATAATACCTAATGGATTAGGTATGAAGACTAGAATTCTTATATAAAACCAAGGTGCTTCATCGATGAAGAGGGACTATAAAACCTGTGTTTACATGCTCAGGCACTTAGGAAGGAAGTAGGATGGTCTCCCTGGCTATGGGGCTATTACTGTTTTGAGACCCCCCAGATAAATTGAGGCTGCAGTACCAGAGCAGCTAGCAACGGTGCCCAAAAGGGAGATGAAGGGGACCTGGACATGGGTGTTTGCAATGTGCCTTTAGCAGGATACTTCTTTTACCTGGTAGATGGTGTAAAGTCTAGTTGTCCAACCTGTGACCAAAGGGTCCTTCACACTGGAAACTTGTTTAAACTTGCAGATGACCATGTGGCTCTTGTCTGACCCATGTCCAGTTTATGTGGGTGCTGGAAGCCTGACCATGTGTTCTCCCCAGTGTCCTGGGGAAAACCTGGCCTGGAGCAGCCCCTGGCACTTCAGAAGGAGTGTGCCATGAGTCAGGAGGGCATCCTCCATCCCTGGGTCACATGAGGCAGGAGGGAAGAGTCAGGCAGCAAGAGAGAGAATGAGTGTACGTAACAACTAGCAGCATATGTAAGGGAACAGGGTGTGGCTCACTTTAAGCTCACCGGGCAAATGCCTGAGTGATCCACTCAAAGGAAGAGGCGGGAAAGCAGAGAGTCCAGTGTGCTTGGCCAGAGAGATGCCTCTAAGTCCCCATCTCTGGCCACTGGCCTGGGCTATTTAGGTGTGGCACAGAATGGGAGCGTGTGTCAAGGGTGACTGAGCCCCCTTCTGGCACGAGAAAGTTAAACTTGTATTCACAATGGATGCTGAGGCAACATAGAATTATAAGAATTTTCTACAGGGTGGAAATACAGTCACCCTCAAGAAATGAGCAATCCCAGACTGCACCATGCACGGGTCTGGGCCCAAATTCACGCTCTTCAGTACTGTGTGGTTCTGTGCTGATACCAAACAAAAATAGACCCGGAACAATTCAGAACTGCAGCTCCCTGGGAGGGGACAATGTTAATCTATCACCTGGGGCAAATCCACAATCCAGGGTAGAGACAAGATTTCTGAAGAAGAAAATTCTCACTGAAGATGCACCAACGGAACAGAAAGGACAAAACATGAAGGTGAGACTCATCAGGTTCTGAAAACTGGATAAGTAAGGACTGTATTAGTTCCTTGTGACTGCTACAACAAATTGCCACAAATTGGGTGTCTTAAAACAACCAAGAAAAACCAGAAATTTGAAATCGAGGTGGCAGCAGGACCACACTCTCCGTGAAGGCTCCCGGGCGAGAGTCCCTTCCTCACCCCTTTCAGCTTCTGCGGCCCCAGGCACTCTTGGCTTATGTTCACATCACTCTAATCTCTGCCTTTGTCTTTCCGTCACTTTCTCCTCTGTGTATCTCAAAGCTCCCCCTGCATTTTCTTATAAGGATACATGAGATTGAATTTAGGATCCACCTGGATAATTCAGAACAAGCCTCTTTTCTCAAGATCTTTACCTTAATCCTATCTTCTCTCATATACAGTGATATTCTCTGTTTTGCCATATACGATAATATCTCCAGGTCCCAGAGAATAGGACGTGGAATACCTTTTGGGGGGCAGCCATTAAGCCTTGTACAACAGCTACCTGGTGAGAATAGAGCAACCTGATGGAGACATTAAACTGAAACTGTTTAAAATGCTCAAAGAGATATAGATAGGACCCGAGTCCATAGGACATTATGAGAAAACCTAAGACTAAGACAGTATGAAGAAGGACCAGGCAGTTTTGGAGAAAAACCCAACAGAAATTCCAAGAATAAAAAATAGAGTAAGTGAAATCAGAAGTAAGTAAACTCAATAAATTAAGCAGAAGAATAGACAATAGCTCATGAGGAAACGAGAGATCTGGAAAGCCTTTCTGAAGAAATGTCCCTAAATGCTGCAAAGACAAATAATAACAAGAGACCATGCACGGAGGAGAGAATGAGAAAGCTCCAACATATGTCTACTCCAAGCTTTAGAGGAAAGAAATAATATGTCCTTGAGAAATGCATCAAAGAGGGAATGGTAGGAAAGACACGGGTCCCAAGATTGGGACTAAGTCCCACAAAAGAAGTATTAACACAAAAAACATATCTATACCTACACATGCTGTAATGAAACTGGATAATATGAAAGACAAAAAGAAAATCTTAAATGCTGCTAGAAAGAATTGACGAGTGATCTAAAGAGGAATGAGATCATGTTGACAGAAAACTTTTCATAACCAACACAAGATGCCAAAAATGGAAATAATATTTTCAGAGGCTGGAGGAAAATGATTGCCAAACTAGGCTTCCACTGTCAGTGCAGGTATTCCACTGGATGGTGATGGACAGTAAATAGATACCCTTATCTTACTCCCTAGGTATCAGTGAACCTTGGGACCCGCGGGTTACCCTGGGAAAGTGACACCCAGTGATGCCTGAGATTGGTTTTGCTCTTGCAGAATGCGAGCTGGAGTCAGATATAGCCTGATCTAAAGGAAATGAAGCAAGTGACATTTTGCACAGTTGAGTTTGGTAGCTACAAATCCATATCTACGATAGAAGAAAAGGGGTGCGGTTGTCTTCACAGAGGCCGTTATATTGTCTGTGTGCAACTTTAAAATCAGTGCATATAGCATGATGTGTGTGTGCGCAAGTTAAATCTTGCCTGTCCCCTAGAGGGGACCAACATAAGCAGGGCCCATGTGAGAAGTGACTGCAGTAGTTAATTGGTATTTAAAATATTGTTGTCAATACCAAAGGATAATAGGGATAAAAAGGATATTAGGGATTTTTGGCTTTTTTGTCTGTTTATTTTGTTTTTTGAGGAAATGACTGGCTGTGAAGATTGAGGATTAGAAGCATTATATTGACTTCAAGCAGGCACTGACATTGCTGCATGAAGGAGAAAGAAGAATGTGGCAAGTCCAGCTCTTTAATGCCAGGAGTGTGGCTTTCAGTGACTAGCTCTCCCTGGGTCCTCTGCTATCCCTCCCTGTCGACGGATCTGAACAGACAGATGCTGGGCTGGTCCTGGCATTAGCACATAGTTGCATCTGCTTTTGAGTGTGATTCCATGCAAAGACAGGGAAGGGAAGTTCCTGGTCTACATAGTAGGCATGAAATCTGGATAATCAATTATCGCTTGTTTGGAAGAATTTGGTCTGAACCTTGCTTTCATTGTAAAACACCACCTGTAGATGGGGGTGGGGGGTGGAGGATAGCACCTTTAGGCCTCATATGGCTGTAACCATGGGAGGCTACCAAAGAACTTCACATTAGGCAAAAGGCCAACTTTGCAGAGATATTATTATAAGAGAAGTGTTCCTAAATCCCAGTTAACATCACCTCTTTTCTAGCTCCAGTCCCCCTTCTCTAGGCAGCTCCCTCTACCGGCAGGCTCTCCCTCCCCAAGACTGCTAATGAAGGAGGATGTTTTAGTAGCACTGGGCCCTAGGACAGCACCAGAAAGACCTTCCTGGCAGCTCTGGGTTGACTTTGGGCTTCAGAGTGGCAAATTCTTACCCTATCCCTAATGACCAAAGTCCTCCTGCCTCCCACCCCAGGTTCAATTTCCTAGAGACCACCTAGTCTCCTTGAACCTTGAATCTTGGCTTTAGCTGCTGCTAACCTCATTCTTACAGAACTGGGCCACTGAACTGGTTCATCTCAGTCTCTGCTTCCTTATGCCAGCCAGGTACCTGCATTTCTGCCCAGTGCCTAGAGCTGAGCCTCCACCTTCTTCAATCTCATAGAGTTGTCTGAGGAGTAAATGAAGTTAATATACAAAACTACTCAGCAAATAGCAGGCATTATATTCACTGGTCAGTTTCTTTTGCCTTAATTTTTTGGTAAGTTTCTTACCTCTTAGTGTCTCAGTTTTCTTATCTGTAAACTGGGGATAATAATAGCACCTACCGCCTAAGACAGACGTAAGGGTTGGAAGAGTTAAGATACTGTAGTGGGTTAAGTAGTGGCTCTCAAAAATTTTGCCCACCTCCTAATTCTCCAAAACCTGTGAATATTGCCTTATATGGCCAAAGATATGATTAAATTAAGGATCTTGAGAGAAGGGGGTTGTCCTGGACTATGTGGGTGTGCCATAAATGCAATCACATGTATTTTTATGAAATAGATACAGAGAGGAGAAGACACATGAGGAAGAGCAGGAGGTGATGTGATCGGGGAGGCAGAGATTGGAACGATATAGCCACAAGCTAAGGAACAGGAAGGAACAGATTCTCCCCTAGGGCCTTCAGAGGGACGTAGCTCTGCCAACACCGCGCCTTCAGACTCTGGCCTCCAGGACTGTGAGAGAGAAAATTTCTGTTATGTTAAGACACCTAATTTGCAGTGACTTGCTACAGCAGCCACCAGAAACTAATATGCATACCTAACACCCTGGTACAGAACATGCATTCATTTTGGTAGTTGATTTGATCTAGAAGTAATTATGTCTATTTTAAATGAGAAGCATTTTTCTCATCCAAGAAATTAGGCACCCCTGAGGGTGCATGGAAGAGGTGTTTGGAGGGGAAGGCTAGGTGGGATACACAGGAAAGCAGGTTAGGGCTCTGCAACTCTTGAATGTGGCTTTGGAATTTGAGTCGATACCATCGTAATGGCACCGTAATGGGATGATAATAGTTCAAATTAGGTTATGGCTGGCCGAGGCATTAGTGGCTAAACTATTCTCCTTTAATCCACAGTTTCTGGGAGTGGGATATACACTTTGATCCCACAGGGACACACAATCCTATTTGGATGTTTGGACAAATTGTTTCCCCCCTTGTCCACCTTTGACTTCCCTGCTGAATTTTAACCTGATCGTATCTTTTTTAACTCAAGGAAAACATATATGTGCCGCTGAGAAGAGGTATTCAGGAGGCAAAGTTTCCAAGGAGTTTGAGTTCTGGATGGTCCACTGCCAACCCCGACCTTCCTGCACCTGCGCTACCCAGAGGCAGCTGGGCCTCTCTGAGGGTCGCGGGAAGGCCAGACCCTGAGAAACGCAACTGAAATATTGAGAAACAGGAGTGTGGGCGGACCTCTCTAACGGCGAGAAAGAGACAGCCACAGGCCCCCTGCCGAGCCACCCTATTTTGTCCTCCCTCACCACTATGATTTCCAAAACACAATGCACAGAGAGGCCAAGAGAGAGTGGCATTTTTAATTCACTTACTTCTGCTCTCAGGTCATTCAGATCCTCATAGCTGCCCAGTCACAATAGGATGCCACAATACACATTTTTCTTGGGAGGTTTCTTAAGTCTGATCTTCTAGAAATCATGGTGATTCCATCTTTTTGCTCTGTGTTGTCTGACATGGTAGTAAATTATTAAATAAAATTTCAAATTCTGTCCTTCAGTCACACTGGTGACATTTCAAGTGTCCCCTAGCCACATGGGGTGGAGGCTCTCACATTGGTGAGAGCAGACTGAGCATTTCTATCACTGCAGAAAGTAAAGCAGTGATGTCCTAGTTATCTAAGATGTAAGTTGAAAGTATCAGACTGATGGAGAAATCAGCTAGGAAACTGGTACCTAAGGCCACTTACTCTTACTACCTTGCATTAGTGAGCACTGCAGGCGTCTTCAGTGACCATATCTAAAAATACATGCATTAGAGCTGGGTGTGGTGGCACGCACCCGTAGTCCCAGCTACTCAGGACTGAGGCTGGAGGATTGCTTTGGCCCAGGAGTTTGAGGCTGTAGTGTGCGATGATTGCACCTGTGAATGCCGCTGCACTCCAACCTGGGCAACACAGCGAGACTCAGTCTCTAGGAAACAACCAAACAACAAACAAAATACCATAATACTACATTCACATAGAAAAAGGAGCACACCATGCTTTGTGGAAATTATATACATTTGTAAGAAGTAATCATCATGCCGCTTTTAGTCTCTCTTTTGGAGGATGTTATTTATTGTAAGACATCATTTTTATTAAATACACTGTAGTACAAGAGACTTTCCATGTCAGGTTGAGAGAAGCTGGTCACATGATTTACAAACGAAACTTTTTTTTTTTTTTTTTTTTGAAACACTGTATTCAGGTGTCACTTTGAAATCAGCCAAGATGCAGTGGGTCTTAGTAAAGCAATGGACCTCAAAACAGATTGCAAAACAAGAACTGGTAAGTATTGGCACAGAGACGTCACATTAAAAGGAAAAGAAACCAGATGAAAAGATAGAGAGTTCCAAATACCAGGTCACTATTGAAGGGGAAATATATCTGCAGAGAGATATTGAAGTGTGTGTGTGTATACGGCCTGGATATATACAAACATCTCTCCAGATACAGCAGCAAATGCAGAGTGTCCACATCTCCAGGCAGATTTGTAAGTCACAGGTAATGATCAAGGAACACAGGGAGCAATAGTTCACCATAATTTGGTCATAGTTCAAGGGATTACATATTTTAAAATCCACATTTAATTCAAAGACCTTGTATTTAAAACATTTCCAGCTGTTTTATACATTTTTAAAGCAATAGTAAGATATACAAGCTGCAAGATGTAGGCCTTTACATTACATTTCATTTTCTCCAATTTTTTTTTTCCTATTCAAACACGTGGCTATTCACAGCTTTTTGTTATGCTTGCTCCATTATGTTGAACATTCAGCCAACCTTCACTCAGGATCATTTTCATTAATGCATGGACCAAAGAAAGAAAATAAACGTGGACCTGGCCTCGAACGCATAGACTGAAAAATGACATCCCCATCTTTTCCCATTTCATCTCCTGAGACATATGTTAAGATGGCAAAATAGTTGCTTGGTGGTGGTTGTGAAATTCACAGTGTTTTGCCTGCAACACATATACATACATATATATATTTTTTGCTTTGCTTTGTGTTTGTGATGAATGGAGCAAAAATAGATAAATAAGTAAATAAATAAACACATAATTCAATAAATAAAGGTCAAGGGAAAAGAAGGGGAAGAAATACAAAAACTAAGGATATTCCAGAACCTCTCACTTGAGCAGCAGTGATTCATTCCAGCCCTGACAACAAGAAAATATCCCTTCCTGCACTGTCATTTTAAACTATAAATCCTTCCCACCCTTAATGCTTTAGAATAATATTTGAAATTCATGTGCAAGCTATCACAACCTCAGAGTGTCCACATTCCAATTAAGCATTGTAAAGAATCGGCTTTAACTACTAACTAACTTAGACATTTGGGGAGTTGGGTCACTGGCCATTCCTCTCATGGGATTTTCTGTAACAGTGATATATGGCCAAACCAAAGGTCAACACTGAAAATGAAAGTCCTCAAACAGGAAAGGGGGGGGGGGATTGGGGAGCAAGAGAATCGAAGGTGTGTGTGTAAATACAGTCATTTATTTGATTAGATATAATTTAACATTATTGGTGAAATAGGCTGTCCAATTTGCAAAAAGGAAAGTAAAATAAAGATAAAAAGCCCATTCTTGACCAAGAAATCCTATTGTCACGACGCTTTGCAAAGGACAGCATTCTCCACCCTTGGCTGGTACATTCATACTCGGATGTGGGAATCCCTGACTAGCTCATCTCGCCGTGGGGTCTTGGACGTCTCACTATTGGCCTTCGAGACACTGGGCTCCCAACATTCCAATTTACACCTGGAATGCTTAGACTCTGAACACAAGTGTGAAGGATCACAGTGGGACGAGGACAAGGTGAGCATAACACAAATGTGCAGAAAGACAAAACAAAAAAATCCATTTTCCTTTCCTGGACCTTTACATAAAATGATCTAATTCGGTCCTCATTTTCTTTTGCAAGGAACCAGAGAAAGGATTCAGTGTGGTGGGATGGCTTTTATTCAGTGGTTTTGGGAAGCACATTATTTTAAATATGCCTCCCACCCATGCAGTACTGCACGGAGTTGGAAAGTGTGATGTAGTCCTACCCACATGGAGAATGGGAGCACTAACAGCAACATGACATTACAAAGTTTTGGTTATTTAGCAGATTTTAAGCAAATTATTCATACCGCACCCTACTTATAATTATCTCTATTATTGTATGCCTATAAATTTATACATAAACACAAACACACTATGTATGTGCATTTGTATATGTATAAATCAAGTATTTATAACACATATATAAATACATGAAAGTATCACAGGTAGCACTGATGTGAACACATGTATAATATGAATTCTGATATAATCTTTTATAGCATAAAGTGTTTTCTAAATAAGCCTGATTATGACATTGGTTCAGTGTACAAGGATTTAGCTGAAGCTAAGAGCATGATTACATATCACAATTATCTCAGCTGCTTGTAAACTCATGTATTTCCATTTGTTCTTCTAACTTCACACCCTGCTTTTGGAATTTGTTAGTGTGCTTTCTTTCCTGAATGCTTGTTTGAATATTAGGGTTTCTAGTGGACAGAATCATGAAGTTCAGAGTCAGAGTACTTGGATTAGGTCCCAGTGGTGCCAGAAGAAGCTAAGCTGGAGACTTCTAACGTGCATCTGAGCTTCTTTGAGTCTCAATTTCCTCACCTATTAAAAAACAGGAATAATTTGCTAACACGTGTGAAAAGTGTTTGGAAAACTATTTAAAAAATTGTAAATGGAAATGATTGTCAGGCTGGGTCTGGACTAGAGAGTCAGGTTTATCACTGCTACTGCTGTAGTTTTCAGCGTCTCTGAAGGCAGGCCATATTTGGTGACCATTACATTTTAGAATGAGGATGCTACTTAGTTTTCTAAAAATCAGACCAGGAGAAAAGGGGGTATTGGAGGGACAGTGACAGGTATTTTAAGACATTCTGTGGCTCATTCAGCTACTTCAAAGCAATCGATATTCTTTCAATGCAAGATGTCTCTGAAGTCAGCACATACTCTTGAGACAACAGAGGAAACAATAATAATCAATAATATAAATAACTATAAAACTTTGCACTTGCATAGAACCTTTCAAGACTTTGAGGGACTTGTCAGAAGGTATAAGGAGAATTTTTTTTTTTTTTTTTTGCTTTTTGCTTTCAGAGGAAAGCATACAACTGGAATGGAATGTTCCCATCTTCTCATCTGCCTAACACTGCACAGCCTTCCTTGAATTTGATCCCTTAAAGTAGTACCTCCTTTGCTCTCTTAAAATAAAATAACTTGCAGCTTCTTGCCCCCGAGCCGCTGGCCAGACATGCACAGGTAGCAAACCTGCCTAGGCTTTCAGGTCATCGCTGATGGAATCTAGAAAAGTGATTATACAAATCTGCCCCTTCCTTCTTGCTTCATGGAAGTCCACAGTGTTTTAACAGTACCGTGGGTCCTTAATAGGATATACACGTGCACGTATATATCATTGAGATATGGCTTTCATTAGATGATTATTTGTATTCTGGAGGGGTACTTTTTTCACTGCCAAAGAGAATAAACAACTCAAACTCCATCTCTCCTAGGCCAGCACAGAACTCGAAGGGACCGTAAGGTTCATATTGTCCAACCCCCTAGTTTGACCACAGACGCTACTTACTGCATTTCCTTTTGTTCTCTGTTAATTTACATTTTTGAATTGTTGAGAACTGGCTTTCAAAGCCTATAATGGTCAACAAGGTGTTCCAGTAATTAACGGGCACAAGCAAAACCTAAAACAGAGCTATTGCACCTTCAGAAACACAGATGAAATAACATGACCTAAGACGAATTAAAATCACTCCCTTTCAATCTAGCTCATGTTATAAAGATGTCAAGTTTAACAAAATTCCCCTCACAGAGGGTAGCAAGTTTTCTTGATGAACAGAAATATTTTTCTTCCTTGGTATATCTGACCATCCAAATAAGTGTAAATTTCTATTTGAATTTACGCCTTCTTTTTGCAAAACCAATGACTATGCCCAGAAGCACACCTCCCGTGCTCAGTCTGGGCACAGCCTCCCATTGGCATGCCGTGCCAAAATTTTATTTTGACTTTTTTAATGGAGTGAAGAAAACAAAAACAGCATACTGACAGTGGGGCACACTCGGAATGAACCACTCTCCCAACCAGAGCCCAGAGCAAGGGACTTGGCCTGTGTACACTGAACATTAACGCATGTGATGTGCTAAGGGTGAGGTTTCCTCTCCCACAGGGATTGATTCTGCCCTCCCCATAGTCCTGTGGGCTCCACGTGGATGAGGGTATCCGCGCTTCAGGGTCCATATTCATTAAAACCCATCACCACCATACAAGGCAGAGACATTTATCTTCAGCCAATCGGCTCCATGAGCTTCCCCTAACTGTGTAAGTCATACCTTTCACGGATCTGCTTTGCCTATCAGGGGCACTGTGTCTGGAGTGGTAGTTTCTGCACACAAGGTATTAATCCACGAAGACCATGCACAATTTTGCTTGCACAGTTAAAAGGATGGTGGGAGTAGAAGTTGGGGGGCGGAGGGAAGTGCTATCTGAAAAGTTCAATATAAGAGAAACTTGTCTCTGAATTTATAGTTCGTCCTATCTTTTCCGCGTCCGTGGCTTTCCCACCTGACCCTGAAATGATCTCTGGACACAAATCCACCTTGACTGAACTTGACAAAGGATCAGTGGATAACACTTGAACAACAAACCAGTGCTATCGTGGCGACCTACAAAGACAAGACTGTGTCTAAGCAAATGATGTGCCATCTTGTGTCTCACGGAAGCCATCTTTTCTCTCTACTGAACGCTAGTATTTCTGGTGATGGGCAAAGAATGGTCCATGGCACAGAGTTCAACAGTCTTTTTACTCCTCAGAAAGGTCCTCAGGGGAAGGTGCCGAATACATTCCTCCCAGCTAACAGTGGCTGGGTTGTTCCTAAGCAGGGACTGATGCCAGCTGATCCCAATGGTTGTCTTTGTTCCTCCCATACAGCGGTTTATAATAAATCTTCTTTCTCTCTGGTTTTAATCTCCCACATATAAAGGCTTCCCAGATTGAACACAAGTTTTCCTTTTCACACACGGGCTTAAGCCATCCAAAAAACAATAAGAACAGTAATAATAATAAATAAATAGAAGTGAATCCATAGAAACTCTCCATGTCTGTACAGCAGAAGTGACAAAGTTTAAGTCAAATATTTGTTTTCCCTTTTTTTCATCCACATCAAAGGCAGGAATACAACAAGGCATTGTTAGTTGTGGTGGGCAAACCGAAGTGTCTGCTGATATAACAAATTAGGTTTGTTAAGGCCTTTGTCTATGCAGAGTTAATAGTAATGCAGAAGCCAGATTGATCCAACAGAAAGGGCACGAACTGTGAAGCAGGGAAGACCAAGAAAAGACAAAAAGGAAAGGAAAAGAAAAGAAAGGAACAAACCAAGGGAGATGGAAAGAGAGAAAGAGATAATACCAAAAAGAAGTCAGTGCTGCGTCCATGGATGGAGAAGTCCACGCGGCTTCCCTCTGAGAGCTTCTCGCTGTCTCTGCTGCTGACACTGTCAGAGTGAAGGAGAGCAGCTCGGGCTTCCAGCGGCAGGTGACAGATGTTCCTCCTCTCGGCCCGTCTGAGGAGTGCGACGTCGGGAAGGGTCGGCCTGGGGGCAGGGCCCTAGCCTAGAATATCCAGGTAGACCGGAGATGCCTTGGCCAAGTTCTGAAGGAGGGTGTGGATGCCCTTGATGTTCTTCCTCATGTGGGGCTCCCGCTGCCAGCACCCCAGCATCAGCTCGTACACCTCCTGGGGGCACGTGCGGGGCCGCTGCAGGACTCGGCCCTGAGTGATGCACTCTATCACCTGCGTGGGGAGACCGAAGACAGGGTGAGACGGGAGGAAAAGCAGTGCCAAGCAAAGAAACGTCAGAACAAAGCAGGGCGGAAGAGGGGGCTTCTCCTCACTGTTCATCTTTCTTAGAAGGAAGCGAGCAATTATTAGATCATTTAACCTCCATTGGTTTACATCGATGTGAATTTGATTGGATTATCTCCACATTTTTTTTCAAGCCACTCTCATGTCACAGAACTGGTGGAGAAATAATTTATATGGAATGCTCCCAAACCTCACACTGGAACTCCCACGGGTTTTAGTTTTTACCAGCCTGGGATGGAACCCAAGTCCCTTTTGTGTTAAAGCGCTGACTGAAGACAGAGCACCCCTCAGGCCACAGACATAGGCAGTCGTACTGGCTGATGGAATTGGAGTAGAAAGACAGACATGGACCCTCCTAGATGTGGGGTGCTTGACCAAGAAGCTGTGCCTCAAATATAGACATATTTGCAAAAAGGTTAGAACAGGAAAACAAAATATTTGCATTTTTTCACTGAAAGCTAATGATCTAGTGAAATGTGCAAAAAGGGAAGAAGCACAAAACGTCCCTGGAACAATACTAAAAAAACCTGGCTGGGCCATAGGGCGCTGGGACGCTACGTCTGCTGTCAATTCGTCACCTGAGCGGCATGAGTGAGGTGGCTTACCAGTGCCCTCACCAGAGGAGTGAGGCCGAATCAGCAAGCACTGTGCCTTTCTTCCTCCAAAACTCTTAAATTCCTGTGACTATGCTTTGGCCATGACATTTAGATACACAGCAGGCTATTTGGGAAGTGCTGCCCTCCCCCCCCCAAGAAGCCACATAGGACCATGTCCTGACTTCCAGCCCCAAAGGAAACCCCAGCAGAGGCTGCCTCTGGAGTCTCGGCCGGGGCGGGGGCTCAGCCAGGCCCGCTACACACCTCGTTGTTGGACAGCTGGTACCAGGGCTGCTTGCCATAGGTGAAGATCTCCCACAACACGACCCCCAGGCTCCAGACGTCACTCTCCGTGGTGAACTTCCTGTACATGATGCTCTCTGGAGGCATCCATCGGATGGGCAGCATCGTGTGGCCACCGACCTGCCGGGAAAGGGACCAACAAGGAGGCATCAGTCACCCCGGAAACAGGTGTGGAAGGGATGACTGTGGGGCGATGTTTTCTTTCCTTATTTGTGCTTATTAATTTTAATTATTTATAATCGCATAAGGAATATATGACTTCTTCACAATCTCAAGCAGCAGAGGACAAAGAATGATCAAAATCATTTTTTCATGTTATTTGTGACTCTCTTTATTTCAAAACCAGATAGGAGCAGGGTTGGTGATTAGATGGATATTCATCTTGGACACACACACACACACACACACACACACACACACACACAAACACACACATGTACTTTCTGGTAGGAGGATGACTCAATCTTGTTAACAAGAGGATAACTTTGATCAGGATGACAGGTAAGGGCTTTGCATCCAAAATGACCGGCCAGTGACTCTACTTCCTTGACAAAGTCAGGGCCTCTTTCTGCTTGCAGGTGTGAGGTGTGCACAGTGCTGATTCAGACCTCCTGACCACAACCCAGCAGAGGGCTGAGCAGAAGTTTCTATTCCCATTTTACAGATGAGGAAACTGAGGTTCAGGTTGCTTATGGACACAAATAACTCAGATTATTGGACTCCAGGCTCAAGACTTTCATCTACAACAGAGCACTGCTACTTATATTATTTACAGCAATAAATAAATACATTTTTTAAACATCCATTTTAGTGAAAATACTGAGGTCGAGGCACCAGATGGCAATCGCATTAGCAGAGGCAAATTGAGTTTTCTTTAATAAAGTAAACTTGTTTCTGACTTCTTACTTCATGGAGGAAAGTTAGGAATTTCATTTTCAAGCTTGTAGGACATCAGAGCTGTCTGATTTTAAAGCCATGAACAGATTTCTGCACAGTTGTCCCATGGCTGGCAGCTCCTGTTTTTTATCCTGTAATCCCCAGGCACTCAAGGCTACAGGACATGCCTGACACCTGGCAGCAGGTGGCCTTATGCTACAGCAGCAGCTAGACCTCAAAGACAACTCACAGCCCCTGTGTTTTTAGAGTAATGCCCCATACAGTCTATGCTCCATTCTAATTCTCAAAGTCCATTTATGATTCATTAAAGGAAGGAAATAACAGAGCTTGAAAAATGGGCCTCCACCCCATAGCCCAAGGAGCTAAAGTGTCAGTCTCCTTGCCATTCTCTGAAACCACAGTTGGTGAAGCTCCAGCTAGTTTACAAGAAATCTATACACAGTCCCATTTAATCTCATGAACACACAACAAAGGACCCAGGACCCATGGTGGCATCTCTGGTCTGCAGATGGCAAAATTGCTCTCAGCAGTTATGAGACCTTGCTTGAGGTAACACACTTCAGCACCTGGTACTGATAGGACTAAGGTCTAGCACACTGACTGCCATACTAAGAAAAAAAATCTTTCCTTGGGGCCATGGTGTTGAAAATAGAGTAAAAACTTCAAAAAGGAAACAATCCTTTCTAATCTAATTAAAAATTTGTTACTGTTTTCTGTGCGTGAGTTATATGCAATTAAATTGTCAACATTAATTGTAACAATAAAAACTTCAACAAGTAAGATATTCATGAACCAACTGCAGGGTTTTGCCCAGGGGGCCACCCATCACGTGACATGCATGCTACAGCACGGCAGCGTGAGTTGCCTGCGCACCACACGGCTCCCGAAGTAAAGAGACTTGTGAGTTACATATGCTTCACGAGGCCCCAGGCTCAAAATTAGCATGAGTTAAATACAACTCATATGACAGTTAATGTGCTAGACTTTCTAACAGACCATTTTTATCCACATAGCAAGTTTTACTGGGGACCTCCTAAGGTACAAAAGAGCATTGCTCTAACTACTATGCAAAAATAAGGATAGGATGGAATCAAAGGGAAAAATAATGTCTCCCCCTAGGGACCTTATTCTTACATTGCCCATTTTAACCTTTTCCCCACCTTATAAAGAAGAGCTCATAACATCATTGTGCAGCACACCATACTGCAGGGGTGCGACAAGCTCAGTTGTACATTTTGTTGTCTCTGTTTTTTCTTATTGGACAAAACACAACCCCAGTGGTCAAAGTGACTGAGAGAAGTGGGGGTCACAATGAAGACTGGGACTTTGTCTTCTTGCTGTGCTGTCAGAGCTGGGTTATTGAAACATCCATGCAAGGGAAGTAGCTTGGACAATGAGTGGAAGTATCTGCTAATCTTTCTGAAAGAAGTGTAGGGCTTAAGAGAAGCATTTTTCTTTGGGAAGGAATGGATAACTTCTTGCAAAGAGTCTTTCTGCAAGAGCTATTTGTAAGTGCGACACCTCGACTTTTACAGAAATTCTATAAAATAAAAGGCCCAAAAGGGTAAGCTACATGGCTGGGAGGGTTTCAGTGCAGACTTATGTGGAGTTAGAGGGCCAGGTTCTTAGTAAAAAAGACATAATTATTTATTTTATGGAAATATTGAAATTGGAATCTAGATTTGTGATGAATGTCTAGTTGATGTGTGGGGTAACAGAAGACATTGGTACGTGGGGGTAACGAGAGGGCTGGGTATTATGACCCAACGTGGTGTTCTTTTGAACGTCAGGTCTCAAAATGTTAAAAGCTAGCTCCCTTTAAAAGTTCCTAGGTCAAGTGTGTAAAATACACCATAACCTGTATGCCTCTTCACTTCTAGGAGATTCATAATGCCCTGAGCTTTGTTAAAGTATCTGAGGAGTTTGTCAGGAAAGAAAAGATTTAACTTTAACATAGTGAATTAAACTAATTTGAATGTGTGTTTGTGGGAGAGAGAGAACCACTTGTACACGTCTCCTAGAACCAGACAGCTAAAAACTACACTTTGGGATGTGTCAATGTAGCAAGAGACCAGGCTTTCCATGTCTACCTGGGCATTTGCAGTTGCAATGCAGTGGGCGAGACCGATTTATGATGTGTGACACTTTGGGTTCCATAGTGCACTTACTTGGCCGTTTCCTAGTTGAGTAATCTTGACTAGTTGCCAAGCCTCTCTGTGCCCAAGTTTCTCCAACTACAACAGGTAGGGAACAATGTCTACCTCCCGAGATTGCTGTGAGCAAATACTCAAGCAGACATTTGTGAAAGTGCTTTCTACGTTGCAGTGTACTAAACGGTTTCAAGGTGTTGCTTCCTTCTCTGCGACTCTCACTATCTCACTGCCTCCGTGGGAAGCAGCCATCCCGGAAACACTAAGGAGAAGAATCGACACAAGAGACCCTCCCGTACTCCTCACTTGGCCACGACCAAGTGGCTTCTCTAACACCAGCGCCACTGTACCAGGTTCTCTGTCCTGCTTGGCTAATGGCCAAGAAAAAGAGCCTTTTTCCTTTAAAGGAGAGGGAAAATAAAGATTCACATTTTGATTTACACGTTTTCTCATCTGACCATTTATTTTCTGCTTGCAGTCTCTTTGGGACCGATTCTGTTCCCTTTAATTCTTTCAAGAATGCCTTCTGAGATCTCACACGTGCTGCTATAAATAATGCTGTCCTTGTTCTGGTGTCAAACGGGTGAGTGGTGGGACAATCTAATAAAAGTTCAGACAGGGTTCACAAGTTTTTCAAGCCCGTTTAGAACATTTCCGAACATTTCTTTTGCAGTCTTTTCTCAGGATTTTGGAGCATGTCACAAAAGTAGACTGACCAAAAAAGAAAAAAAAAAAGAGAGAGAGAGAGAGTCACTGTTGTTACAAATTACTGTCACATTCTAGTCACAGCCACTCGATGGTTTGGGGCCACACAAAACCACACAGTGTGCGGCAACAAGCACAATGAGACGTTTGTTTTGTATTGTGCTACTTGGCAACCTGCCCTCACGCGCTTGCTTAAATGTTTGTGAGATGGAATGCGATCCCAAGTGTGACACTGGGAGTCAGAGGCAGATTCTTGCTCTCGGTGGTCGAGGTGCCGTGGTGGCTCAGAGACTCTCCGGAGACCAAGCTGGGTCGGGACCCGTGGTTTTCACTAAGCTCACCAGACTGAACTGATGCAAGATGGGAATCCCAGTTAGCTAGAGAGTTGGCTTGGACTCGCTATTTTATTTTCCTCAACCCAAGAGGGTGGGATTTCTAGTTCCTGCTATGCTATTTATTAACCAGCCTGGGCAAGTTCCCTTAGGTTTGACTTATTTCTCTATTGGTAAAATGTGAAGGGTTAGGGCTGCTTGTGTCTATTTCTAGCATAAACACTGTGGCTCTGGAATGACCCACGGCCACTGCGCCACCATAACCATCCACCAACACACAGTACCTCTCTGTTACAAAGAATTTCTATTCAATTATCTTACTTGAACCCAATGGTTGCCCTTTGGAGTAGACATTGGGTTGCCTAGATATTAGAAATAATGCTGCTAAAATTCAGACAGTTCAAGCAGCTTACCTAAAGCCACACACAAAACCTCTCCCCTCTGGACGTCTTGTATTCATTCCAATGGGTCGTTCTACATTTCTGGCTCCTCCAGTCTCCGACACACGCTCTCTGTTCAGCCAGCAGGCTTAGTGTGGTGCCTTGCCCAGGGAGAACTTACTCAGGGCTCTTGGAAAGTTTCAACTCTTCCCTTTCTCCCTGCTTCCTAAAGGTCTCCTAAAGGAAAGCTAAAGATCCACCTCTTCAAGGAACTCTCCCTCCCTGCTACAGCTCAGGGACCATGGAGTGTCCTTAGTGTAGCTCTGACAACAGCAGCATTCCCTTCCCTTGCTAATGGATCACAGTGGCCCAAGAGGCACGGCCACTGAACAGTTGTGTCTGAAAAGGGATGAGGGTGTCAGTGAGTGAGCATACCATGTCCTCAAGTGGGTGTCTTGTGAGTGCTGCTATTTGAGGGAGAATTCTCAATGTGTTCTTTCAAAGAGATCAGCCTTTACTACCTTCCTATCTGTCCATCAATCATTTCTCTAAACTTTTGATAGAACCAAGCCTTAGATTAGATGGAGGGAAACAGTCTCACCTGTTAGATGCTACAAATAAGAACCATTTAATGAAATTCATAACTTCTCAAAATG